ATAACAACCACCAAGTGCAAATATTCCATTTACATAACCCATATCAGCAGATTTTTGATAATAAATGAATGCCTTATTTTCATCCTTTTCAACTCCATTTCCATTTCTATAACAACCACCAAGTGCAAATATTCCATTTACATAACCCATATCAGCAGATTTTTGATAATAAATGAATGCCTTATTTTCATCCTTTTCAACTCCATTTCCATTTCTATAACAACCACCAAGTGCAAATATTCCATTTACATAACCCATATCAGCAGATTTTTGATAATAAATGAATGCCTTATGTTCATCCTTTTCAATTACAATTCCATTTTGATAACAATAACCAACTTGACATATTCCACCCGCATCACCCATCTCTGCTGATATTTGATAATAAATGAATGCCTTATATTCATTCTTTTCAACTCCATTTCCATAAAAATAATCTTCGCCAAGTTTATAAATCTCATAAGAGGTCTTCATATTGGAATTATTGAGAATATCTGTTAATTAATTTTTTCTTGAATTATGAAGACAATGTGTACAAAAAAATAAAAGAATACGATCATGTAGTGTATGTAAATACTTAATTTTTTATAATCATATATTTGCATGTAGTAACACAAAATTAAGCACAAAATGTATCACACTACGTACACGATTTTTATTTATAGGCTATCGCTATGCCAACTGGTAATTTAAGCTAGAGGTAAATTTATTAATGTAAATTTAACATGATTCAGCGTGGTGCACGCGAGAGATTGACCGAAATTGGTCAAAACGGCAATGACATCCCGAAATGTTAAGCAATAGAATTGTTGCCGTAGGATTGGACCGGTGGTTTCCCGCCTGCCGAAGCAAGCCGGTGTTACGACATGGGGGAGCATTAAATAAACACAGGATGAGTAAAATTTATAGAACGGTAAGCATGGATTATTGGGTGAGCAGTTATAAAAAGAACTTTATTATAATATTATTGGTACGGGTAATTAATTATGACTATTTGATATCATTCGAACCTTCAATCCCTCGCTCAGGGTTTCAATCCCCACCTGAGAGTTCGGATCCCTCGTTGAGGGTTTTAATCCCTCCTTCAATAATGTTTCATGCACCCGATCTTACCCAAATAAGTTAACCCAAAATAAAATAAAATCAAAAAAGAAATATGTTAGCGTAACCATCGACTTCGACTAGTGAATGAAAAATCACGTGTTATCGGGCTGGGTGGATCGTGACTTTGATTTTTGGGGTTTTCAAGCGACAGGGAACCTTTGCTGTTCGAGTCAGATTAATTTATATCTTGCGATTGTTTGAGGCTTTTCCTCTGAACTTATCATTTGCATGTTGTTGCATTTTCCTTCCTCTCACGCCGTTTTACCGTATGTATTGGGTTGCATACAATGAAGGATCGTGTGACTGTTCCCTTTCGATCACGTGATTTACAATAACTCTTCAATATTCGAACACAGATAAAAAATGCTGTATGTGTTTGCTATGTTCTATACACATAATGATAATAATGGGGTTAGGGAATATTAATAAATAAGAATAGGTGTTGTAATATTACCCTAAAAATTTACTGATAATAAGAGTATAAACTTTACAAAAAACTGTACATGTTAAACATCTTTTGACAAAAGGAAAAGGCATAATTTTCGGGTGCACTTTAAGTAAATGTTTCCTAACTCTAAATGCTCACATGAGAGTTATTTTAAAAAATTAATGTTTTCAAATTTTTAAAAATTGTCCTCATTTATATTTATACATGTGTGCCTAAATTAGGGGCGATTTATGGCATTACGGCATGCCTATATTTTTTATATTTTCGGCATATTGCTTCAAATGCCTAAATGTCGAAAATAATTTCGGCTGCCGGAAATAATTTTGGCTGCCGGAAATAATTTTAGCTGCCAGAAATAATTTCGGCTGCCAGAAATAATTTCAGCTTCCGAAATTATTTTCAGCTGGTCTAATTAATTTCATCTGCATATTTAGTACCATTATTGTTATGTGTTGATTAACCCAATTGTAATACACGTTACTGAATTATGCCTCCACTTTTTACTTTTGGATTACAAGAAAGTTGGTACATAATTTGATTATCATACGTAGGAAGCATAACTTAATGTGATTACACGTAAATGTAAACCAACAACCAATTTGTTATTATAGAGATAATGCAATGAACTTTTTAATAATAAAGTTCACTTAAACGTAAAGATTATCACAATTAAGTGTTATAATATGTATGATTCTTTTATATATTGTGAGCAGAGAAATGACTGCGACTCGGTCGCTCAACAAATACAAAAACTCGCGTAACCAAAGGTAAGTAACCTTTCGAAAGAGGTGCGTTATATTAGGCTGAGGGCTTGGTAAGGCTTCGGGTTACTTAGGTTACAATTGTCCAGAAAGGTTTGGTCACGTGAGCAAGAGGTACAACGAAAACAACCCTAGCGTCGCCTAGCAAAAATGGTAGCTGGATTATTTGCCGGACGATTTTCTTAATAATAACCGGATTATTTGCCGGATAATTTTCCAAATCCGGATTTTACTTAGTTATTATTATCGTTATATGGATAATTTTTAAATATTTTAATGAAAAACTTTTGATACTCGATTTTGTAACGTATAATACATTTAAAAAAAAACTTTTTAAATATTTAATTGTATACTTGAGATTTAGTAATTGTGACTTCGCATTACCAACAATTTTTTAATAACAATATCTAGTATTTCAATTTTTTTTATATAATTAAAATACTTTGCTCTCCACTTATTATTCCCAATACATAGTATTACTATTAAAGTCTTTCTATGTTCGTGGCATAGTTTGGCAATTTTTTAATATTATTATATCATCATTTATCTTTTCTAATACCTTAAAATTTGAGTGAATTTTTTCTAACCCTAAAGGTCATTTTGGTTTACTACGTGATTTTTCCAATAATTCTTTTGTCTTAAATGTTATTAAAATCGATATCAAAAATAATATACTACTGTATGTGTATTAATATAAATTTTAGATATAAAAATATAAATTACCTTGTCTAAAATTCCAAATAAATGAACCAAATTAGCTTCGTACGTGTCTTGTTCTTCATTATCACTTTCAATAATATAGTCATCTTCATTTTCAACAACTGAATCTTGAATTAATTGAATATTTGGAGCTTGAATTAAAGAATCTCCAAACTAAAATATATTTACAAGTTTACATTTGTAGGTTGAAATTAATAGATAATTGCTATTTCTTTGTATCTATTATATAAAAATGTAGAATAAATATAATAATGTAAATAAAAAAAAATTTTTTTTTTACTTTTTTAAAAAATATTGCATCAACTTTTTTAACAGAATGAACCAGATATTTGTACAAAAAGAAACAGCTTTTAATAAATGCAGGGTATATATATATCTATCTAGCTGAATTTGTAAAATACTTGTTATTTATATCTACTTTTTTTTTCAAGATTTCACTATTCTTTTTTAAATTCTTTTTACTATAGTACTGTATAATGACCGTGTTTAAGTAATTTAAGCTAATATAATTGCTGATTAATAACCTTTTTTACAAGAATATAGCATAAATGATCAATTCTTAGTTTATGAAATTTATATAAATAGTTATACTTAATATATCACTAATGAGATTCGACTATTATAGTAATTTTGATATGACTAATATTTTCATTAGCTACTCAAGCCTATAAAACCTATTTCTTCTTAGAATACTATTCCTTCCAAAGATAGATTCATAGTTTTAGTAATTTATTACTTTTACAAAATTGTATCATCTTATTAATACACTCTTTCTAAATATAATTTACATTAGTAATAAAACTTCTATCTAACTTTAGTAATAGTATATGTTGTTTCAAATATTTTTCTATAACTTTAAAGAACAAAAAATCTATGCTTTTGAATCACTTACAATTTTCTAATTAGAATTTATTGCTGAGAATTTACTATAAATATATTTTGGATTATATGAATGATAAATATTAGTTTTATTTAATACTAATTGTTATTTAATAGCATAATAAATATGCTAACTATATAATTGTAACTAAGCCTTAGACTATATATTTTGTGCTATATTAATTTTAGCAAAATCCTTATTTATTAAAATAAAGAAATCTTTTTAAATATCAATCTTCTAAAGTTTGCATCTATCATACAAGAATTTTAATAATATTTTAATTTTTGCTAGCTGAAACTAAGAGGTAACTAAAAAGAAAACTAAAACTATCAATTACTTCTATAATAGTATATAACTTCCAAGCTGAACTATCTTATTAAATATCATATCAATTTCAATTATATCAAATTTATTATTTAATAGTTGATAAAATAATATTGTCAAAATACAATAATAGGAGTAGATAAATAAATATCTATAAGAATTTTCTGACTAAACTCTTTTAACAAATATTTAGCTAATAATAAAAGATCAGAATTATATTAGTATAGTTTGTAAGATTTAATAGACTACTAATAGTATACTTGTTAAACTATTATATTTTCATATCCTTCAATTTGATTTTTCTGAACCTGATACCAAATTTTAGAAGCTAAGTAATTAATATTATTTTGAATAAAATTTTGAATTTCTTAAGTCATTTTAATATGTTGTGGTCTAGAATATAATATTTTATGAGAATATTTAATTTTAATTAAATTTATTATAGAAAAAATTTTAATTATTATTATTTCTTCACAATTATATTATTCTAAGAATATTGGTGTATCACTTTGCTTATCTATATTAGGATGTTTAGCCTGTTGTTTATTAAGTTTAATTTAACAGTTATAGTAATATATAAAAAAAGAGATTTTGTTTTTTGTATTTTATTTTGATAATCTATGAATAACTATCATATTCTAAAATAAGAAATATTATATGCTAACTTAATTTTAGAATCTATATTTTCTTTTTGTGATTCATCTTGTTCTAAAATATAATTAACAAAAGATAATATTTCAATATTAAAATCCAAATTTAGCTTTTGATTTTCTTCTTTATAATGTTCATTAGTATTATTTAATGAAGTTAGAGAGCTATATATAGTATCTGTTATATCTAAGTAACAAATTATTAAATTAAATTATATTTTATTTTTTTTTAATTATATAATTTTAATGTTATTCTGATATTGAAGACATTTCTTTAAAAAAATTTCTTTGTCATTTAGGAATTTATCAGAATTTTATATAACATAATATCCAATACAAATTTTGCTTTGCAAGCTTATCAAAATAATTTTTTTTTTGCTTAAATAAGTTTAGAAATTATTTCTGTTTGAATAAGAGAGTTTTTTTTATATGATAATTGAAATTTTGAATATAAAATATAAATTATTATAGCAAAAGTAATAGAATATGTAATATCAAAGTTAGTAATAAAAGTTTTTTTTAAATAAGTAGTAAAATTTATTACTTTTTAAACAAGAGAGTTTTTTTCTATGATAATAAAAATTAATATAAATATAAATTGCTATAGTAAAAGTAATAAAACAAATAGTATCAAGTAGAGCCAAGTATATAAATCTATAGAGAAGATCAATGAAGATATATATGAATCTCTAAATAAGAAAATACTACTACAAGAATGGCAAGAAGTACTTAGAGACATTAAGTCTAAATCAGTTCTAGACACATCAGGAATCAGCTATTCTATGATAAAAAAAGCAAGTGATCTAGTGCAAAAGATCTTTTTAGTACTTGCAAACAGATGAATAAAAGAAAGAAATATTTCTACAAAATGAAAAATTGGTCAATTATACTTAATACCTAAAGGAAAGAATTAGAACTATTACTTATCTAATGTTAGACTAATTGTTCTTTTTAAAATATTTCAAAAAGTAGTAGTACAAGTAGTAGGCAAGAAACTAAACAAATATTAACAAAGTTTAATATCTTGAAAAGCCTAAATTATATAAGATTATTAGGCTGTAGTACAGGCAGCCTTATCTATATAATGAATAATCTTATTGAGGAAATGCAAAAGAAAAATAAAGAAATTTGAATACTCTTTCAAGATTTAAAGAAAGCTTTTGATTTAGTTAGCCTAGCTATGTTGGAA